TTTACTGCAATAAGAGTACTTTACTGCAATACGAGTACTTTTACTGCAATAAGAGTACTTTTGCTGCAGATACTTTAAGTACATTTTACTGATAATACTTCTTTTACTACATGAAGCTGATAATACTTCTGTATTGTTACTATTCTAGGATTTTGAATGTAATGAAGTATCTTAAAGTTGTTGTAGTACTTTTACTGAAGTACAGTGAGTACTTGTCATTAAACTGTGTACTCAGAATGAAAAGTTTCCTTCTTGTTTTTTATTTTTAGAAACTCGTTTCAGATCACAAGCAGACAAAAATTAACTAAAACTTTAAGTCTAAAATCACCCGGTGACGTCATTGCTCGGAAATTCCGTTTGTCTCGTGGAATGCGTGGAAATATCCAATTATGTTAATGAGTTAATTACCCCATGAATAAAACATTCACACACACACACACACACACACACACACACACAGCTCTGATTGGTCCGTCCCACGCGGCCCTGATACATAAATACTGGACCAGAGACCTGAACCAGGACCAGAGACCTGAACCAGGACTCCCTCCTCTCAGACAGACAGCATGACGTCCGGCTCCTCGCTGCTCCTCCTCCTCCTCCTCGGCTCCGCTGCGGGCTTCGAGCTGCTGCCGGACGAGGCTGCTCCCCGCCGGGCACGATTCTCTGCAAACAGCCCGAGTGAGTCCCGGTTCTGTTCTCCGGTTCAGTGAGTCCCGGTTCTGTTCTCCGGTTCAGTTCTCCGGTTCAGATTAAAGTTGGTTTGTTTGCAGAACTGAGATTACAACGATAGAAACTTCTCTCAGTTTGACTCTCAAACGAATATTCTGATGTTTTTTTTAACGTTTCAGCATCAGAACTATACTTATATTAATATACATATATTATAGTATTATAACTATTGATGCATTCATGTGTTCATCACTTGCAGCTTGTGAAGGTTGAGCTCATTTGAATGAATATAAACTCGTTTTTTCTTTAACTTATTGTTATTTGTTTTATCTGATTTTGTTTTTATTGTTGTCATTAGTTCTATTCTTCATTTATTGTTTTTTCTTTTGTTTTTTGTTCCCTTTGGATTTTAGTGTAGTGAGTTAAGAAGTAGTGGCTTCCAAACTGGTAGAGTAGTAAAGTGTGTGTGTATATATATATATATATATATATATATATATATATATATATATATATATATATATATATATATATACATACATAGTATATATATATACACACCGTATATATGGTTTAGTGAAATTAGCTCCACATTAACTTTCAACATCTAAATGCTGTTTAAACATCGTGTGGAGAATATAATAACAGTTATTTTCCTGCAGTAAGATTCTAAATGCAGAACTTCTTCTTGTTTTATTGCTTCAGACACTTTCTCATCCGTTGGTTTTGTTTATTTCACCAACGAGAAAATATTTAAAGTCTCAACAAGATGAATTTATCACTGAAATAAGATTTAATATTTATATTTCAAAAGATCATTTGCAGTGTTTTTGTGCTGATAGTTTGAACTTTTCCTGTAATGGAAGCAGTACTCATGTTTATGTCTGTCTGTCTGCAGCTGACGTTGCCAGATGTTTGAATGGAGCCGTGGCCGTCGGCTGTGGATTCTTCTCTTGTCTAGAAAACTCGACCTGTGACACCGACGGGATGCACGAGATCTGTGAGCTCTTCCTCCAATCAGCTGCCACCTTCAACACAGAGGTCAGTCTGTTTGCCCGTCTGTCTGTCTCACCTGTCTGACCCGTCTCTCTGTCTCACCTGTCTGTCTCTCTCACCCGTCTGTCTGTCTCACCTGTCTGACCCGTCTCTCTGTCTCACCTGTCTGTCTCTCTCACCCGTCTCTCTGTCTCACCTGTCTGACCCGTCTCTCTGTCTCACCCGTCTCTCTGTCTCACCCGTCTCTCTGTCTCACCCGTCTCTCTGTCTCACCTGTCTGTCTGTCTGTCTGTCTCACCCGCCTGTCTGTCTCCCTCTTCAGGGTAAGACCTTCGTGAAGAAGAGTCTTCACTGCATCTCTCAGGGAATCTCATCGAAGGTTTTCCAAACGATCCGTCGCTGTAACATCTTCCAGAGGATGATCGCTGAGGTTTGTGACCACACCGATCCTGCCTTTTGATTGGTCGCAGAGTTCCTCACTTTTGATTGGTTGCTGAGTTCCCGTCTCTCTTTTTATTTCATAATAAAGGTGCAGGAAGAGTGTTACAGCAGTCTGGACATCTGCACTGTGGCTCGAACCAACCCTGACGCCATCGGAGAGGTGGTGCAGGTTCCCACGCACTTCCCCAACAGGTGAGCACTGATCACACACACACGCACACACACACACACCTGTCTCACACGAGGAGATAAACTGATAAAAAAAGGATGCTGTAATAACGACATAATGAAACACATTTGTAAAAAGTCAGATTTCATTATTTTTTTAGGTCTGAAGACGAGAAGCAAACAACTTTTAAAACGTTTGTTTTCTGAACGGAGTTTGGTTGGATCGATGCTATGCTAACAATGTAGCAGCTCCATCAACAATCAAAAGAACGTCAAATAGGCATAAATACAGTCACAAGTTATTGTTTGTACCATCAATGGACTGTTTATAAGAAGTGGACGTAGTTGTCACGACGTCTCTCGTTTTGAAGCTTCGAGTTCGGCATCTTGACCGTCGCCATCTTGTTTTTTGTTACCAACAAACGTAAGTGACCATATGTGGACTGAGGAGGAGTGACGTAGAGACGCTGTATACGTCTCTTGTAGAGACCTGTCAATCACCGTGTAGCCCCGCCCTAAAGCATCCCCT